GTAAGCCAGGATTTTCTGCAGCTTTCAGCAGGAGACCAGAGCATGGCATCTCACCATCGCAAGTTGTTCTCACCCTGCCAGGTTGTGCAACAAATTCACAGTTTACCCCTGATGAGGTAGATTATCACATTTGCTATGATAAAGGTCATGCCCGCATGCAAAGTGAGGAAAAATAGAAGAGTGCGTGGTTCTTAATCAAAACAATAAATACAGATTTCCTACCGCATTTCTCACATTTGGGCACTCTTAGAGACACTGCCACATCCCAGAATAAACCCAAGCTGGGATAGCTCAATAGCAGATCAGTTACTGCTAGGAAAGAACCAGCATTTGCCCCGGTGTCACCTTGTAAGGAAGGCTCAACATGTTTGAAGTCTGCTTGGGCACGTTGCACACAAAAATACTGGCTAACACCTAACATCTTAATTCTAACGCTTGAGAAATACAGGGTGTGTAGGATTAAGCCCAGAGATCATCGTGTGATGTCCTACTTGTTCCCTTTTCTGACTTTCACTGGTGCTATGTTTTGTAGTTGGGGCTTGCCCTACATTACTAAGAGTTGACTTTGTACAATTCGAGTAATGCTATAAAGATGTACAATAGGAAAAAAAATATTTCAATAGAGTTTAAGAAATATACTAATAAATCCTTCATCAACATGTTAATCAACTGCCACTTACAAGAAGGATTTCAGCTGATGGCGGAAGATTTCTCTTAATAGAGGAAAGAAAAATATTTGTTTTAATGAAAGGATCTCAGTAGCTTGCCTGCTTTTGTAGAAGTCGTTCTATAAACCTGTCGGTGCAGCAATCTGCACGCTTCTAAAAATGAGTTACGCTCTCCTAAATTCTAAGTCAGCTGAGCAGCGACTTTACAATATACTTTTGACCCAACTATAACCCGGAACCTCAAAGACTTGCAGCCTTCTGAAACATCTCCCAGTCTTGCACCAACTGCCTCTTCCCCTGGGAACAGGGGCACTCGCTGGTGTCATACTCCCCACTAATTCCCTCAAAACGTGAAGTCCCTTGATCCATGTGTCGTCTCAGCCCAAACCATTATATACCAAACTATATGTAAATAAACAGGGATTGAAGAACACACATGCATTGTCAGGAACAAGGTAAATAGGAAAGCTCTTCGCAGATATTCAACCACTGAAAAGGTGGTGCCTCCGCTACCGCGGGACGTTGCCTTTCCTTACCCAGGCTGGGCTGGCAGGGAGCGATGGGCAGAGGTTGTCGCTGTCTCTGCTGTGCCAAGAGCTGCTGGTGCAGCCCGGTGTCCACCCTGCCTTGGGCAGAGGGGAGGTTGTGGGAAAGGGAAAAACTCTGGGAGTACTGGAATGGTTGTTTGTATGCTGGAGGAGAGGAGAAGGGGCTGGCGGGAGAGGAGGGGGGTGCCCAGCACAACACAGGGGTTGCTCCCGAGGAAGCAAATGAGCCACAGCTCACAAGGGAAACTGCCTTCTCTTCCAGCCCACAGCATCTGTCTCTCATTGGCTCCCTATTTTATAGCCTGTGAATATCAAGCATAAAACAAATTTTCCCATACTTTCAGATTTTCTGTCTGTGAATGTCTAGCACGGAAGACATTCATCAGTGATCAGAAATTCGTCCCCATGGGAAAGGACTGCTCAACAGAATACGTTAGACACCATCTTCTTCCTGTTGTGGGGAAAAAAAAGGCAAGTAAATATGCTTCCCCACTCTTAATCACTTTTGACAGCCTGATTTCAAAGGCCTTATTTTAGTTTCAAATTTGTCTCCTAAACTGTTTAAAAACTTTCCTGGCCCACAGCAGTACTTTATATGGGTGCTTTTCATAGCACCACAACACATGATCTCTCCAACCAAAACTGTGAGCTTAACAAAACAGTGTAGTGTGGGGCAGGGCAAAACTACCTTTGGATTCCTTCAGTCCATCAAAATCACAGCATGCCCAACAAATTAACCAGCAAGAGAGATACATTTTCCTATCAATCCAGCTGCTTTTCCCGTTTTGGGAGTGTCAGAGCATACTCGCTTGTGAAGACCCATCCCGCCCTCTGTTCTGCCAGCTGAGAGGAGTGCCTGTGTGCTCCCCATCCATTTCACTAAAAAAATAAATTAAAAAAAAAAAAAATAAAAAAAAAAATCACTGAGTTTGGCACAAACCACCCTCCCCAGCTGGCTGGTCTGCTGGGCAGGCAGATCTTCCCCACGCACCACCCTGGGGAGCCCCTGGGGCAGCGGCAGGGCGGCGCGCTGCGGATCTTGCCGAGCGGAAGGATGCTCACAGCTGCGGCGCAAGCAGAGCAGGCTGAGCAGAGCAGAGCTGGGGCAGCAACGGGCCTCGGGACATGCTCTAGTCCAACCTCCCGAGCAGCAGTGGGTCAGCCACGAACAGCCAGGCAACTGGTTTAAAATCCGAGCAAGACACGTTTTAATCCTAGGCTTCGGTGAGGCAACAGTTATAGAGGAAGCAGGTGTGGAGCTCAGCTAGTTTGGAGAGGGGGTGAAGGGACGGCGGGACGGCAGCAACACTTGGCAACACTGCTGGAAGCTGAAAAAGAACTGGTACCCCTTCAGGCGGCCCTAACCCCTACCCAGATGCGTCTATTTAACTGCATATCGGTCCCGCTTCCTCTGCTTGTTTTTCATGTTTGTAAGCTTGCAAGGGTAACAGCCTCAGTGGCATCCAGTAAAGGCGTTCTATATAAACAAGCTGAAACAGTGACACATGGCAGAATGCTCTGTACCGGAGATCAGAGTGCAGCAGCAGTCCTCTACTGCCGGAATGAAGGGGGCTCGGTGTCTGTAGGCAGAGCACGGCCTGTGCTCGGAAGCGGTCACAGGAAAACGCGAGTTGCAACGCTGTGAAACAGATACGCTCCATCAGAAGGGTAAAAACACCTGCAGGTTTTTACCAGTTTTGATGTTAAGAGGAACCTGTCTGTCCATTTGTTGCGGTTTTTAAAAAGACAACAATAAGTTCAGGTTTTTAAAATTTCTGTTTAGAGCAACTGAATTTAACCTTTTGTGCATAACTCTTTCTTTGGTTTATCTAAAAGTCCAAGTGAGAGAAAACAAATGGGGAGAGGTTTCTTTCTCCATCTGTACTGGTGGGAACAGAAGTGATAAGATTAGCTGTGTTTTACAGATGCTTTCTAAGCACATTATGGCAACTCTGCATTTGCTTTTAGTTAAAACAGAATTTCATGTTGGTTGTTAGTATCTGAAAGGCCAAATAATCTAACTAAATGAAATAAAACCCTGATTTTGGGGCACATAAATCTTGAAAGAATCAAGTACTTTTTCCAAAGTACAACAAGGTTTGTCATTTCAATTTGTGCACACAGAACTCTTAAATTTGCAGTGAAAGAATCTGGAACAAAACATTAACATGAGTTATCAAAAAGAGCACACGTCAAATGGAGCCTGTGTGATAAGACTGTTTCTAAGCCTATATCAAAAGTTAAAAATCGGTAAAGGGAGTTTTGAAGTTCCCCAACACACAAACAAGGCTCGATGATGCCATGCACAGGCACTACTACAAGAATGGATCAACAGGCAAGCACAGGACTGCTCACAAAAGGCCAAGAACACCGAGTAACAATGATGCTTGGTTCATTGGAGGGGTCAAAGAGTAACAGTTCTATCTTTTACCTCTCTTCTTGTGCAATCCTTAGTTTGCAAAGACAGGAGGAAGGAAACTGTTTGGTAATTCCCCTGCCATTTCACCAGAATGAATATAATCATTGTTTAATTGACATTCCTGGGAAATAGAAGTTTATGTTGCTCGAGCCAAAAAAAATGACAAAATTATCACTGTTGGCAGAAGTACCTCCATTTCATCACCACGTAACTTGTCTTACCGGAGAAAGAACAGGACGAACTTCACATTTCGATACACAGTGGAATGGGCAAGCTAGACACATCACCCACCAGTCAGTGGAGAACAGCAGCTTGGAGGTAAAACCTAACTCAATACTACTTACCCATTTCTAAATTATATGGCTGAAAATATTCAGGGATAATGCTCCCTTCTTTTGCTGGAGTTTCTTAGGGCCTGGAGAGCACATGGGATGTGGGGTGGTTTGTCCTGTCAAGTAGTTTTCAGAAGTTCATGCACTTGAGAGCTTATGCTAGGAAGCAGAATGTTTGCAGTTGCTTTGTTTTATTTCTTCTGGCTCTAGAACAAGCGATTAGGGAGACCAAAAGCAAGTGGCTAAAACGAGCAATGTCTCATCAGCTCATGAATTCATACCGATCTGGAATGTCATATTCTTATTAACATAAATTAACATTTACACTTAAGATATCAGGATTTCTCACTCAAGCTGCAAAAGGATTTCCAAGAAACACTAACCTCGGAGCAGAAAAATATCCGTACGTGCATTAGGTGAAAAAGCAAGGAACCTCTTTGGAATGCTTAAGAGCAGGAAATGTAATGCAGCTCTAACAGTTTTACGGAAGATAAAAATAGTAGCACACCACTGAGTGAGAGAACTTTCCACCGGCACCGGAAACATCCCCCGTGAAAGGATGAGAGCAGAGGAGATGGTCCTCCGGCAGCTTCACGCCCTGAAGCCCCTGGAGCAGCGAGCCCCGGGAGCCCCGACAACCCCCTCCAGCAGACTCGCTTCTACGCAGAGCAGCGCGATGCCCCGCGCAGGCGGGGTGCGAGGAGGCTGAGACTGACCACAGCTGCGTGCTAGGGTGGTGGCAACAAGACAGGGTCCCACGGAAGCATTCTTAGATAAACAGCTTTTCTTCCTCCTACGGAGAGAGCAGTAGAGGCCGTTCCTTATCGCAGACACCGCAACAGAAACAGGTGTGTGAGCTGAGGCCCGACAGGATCAGCTAACACAGAACACACGGTTTTCTCTGGGTAAATTGTTTAGCATTTCTCCAACTTGTGATTATTGGTCTAGAGATCACAGACACTGTCTCGAGCTGTATGCATGTATGAGAAGACGTATGGATTCCGGTAGTGAAATAATTATAACAAAGCCACAATTATAATACTCCAAAGATAGATGTTTATTGAGTTGCTGAAAAATACAAGTATTCCAGTAAGTTTGTCACATCTAAATGTTAGCTAAAAAACCCTACAGAAGTTCCACATACAGTCTAGTTGTTCCACTTCCCCACTATAATGAAAACTATGTCAAGATGATACAAAGTCAAACCTTTAACAATCACCTGTGAATTTCAGAAAAGTTTACATGTTCTAATTTTTCTTATATTGCCCTTTACGAGTACCTATGAACTATTGTGCCGTTATGCCTCGTTCAGTTCTGAAGGCAGTGTGTTATAGCTGCGAAAACTAGATATTCATCTTATAATCTACTCTTTGGCTATAGAATCAGAATAGGATTAGCATGAGATTTCCATTAATGAGGCCTAAATAATTAAAACCACAAATAATTACATACACATTTTGCAAATCTGTATAATCTGCTAAAGTCGTTGCAACCTTAAACTTCGAACCTTTTAAAGAATATTCTTGGAAGGGTTCCAACAGCCATCTGAGTGATAGTTGTAGCCACTCGGAGCAACTAGTTAATGTGCTTGAACACAGAACCAGAATTCTGTGAAACCACGGATGAGAAACTGAAATGTTTTGTTTGTTGCTGGTTTTTTTAAACTCTTATTCGTTTTCCACAAACTAAGAGTATCAGAACAGCAATGCCAGCCTGGGGCACTGTAGCCATATCCATCACTGGTGCAGACGTGCCTTAATCAGAGAGGAAAATTAAAAGGCTACAGTCATAACAATGAATGTTAACCACTGGTGCAAACCAGCAGCCGATGTCCCACTGGTCTGTAAGCAGGACGCTGGAGAGAGACTGCAAAAGCAGACACGGCGTGAGAACACACAGCCCAGGTGCCTGACAGTGGAGATGCAGATTTCAAGCTTGAACACAAAACAAAAAAATGCTCCATTTCGCAGTAGTTCACCATCTTTGTTTTAGGAAACAGAAGCTGAATAAGCTCAGTGTGAGATGTGCTGCAGTCAGCAAGGTCTATAGGGACCTAAGAACTACTCCTGAAGGGTCACTGGGTGGAAGCAGCACTGCAATACAGAGCTATAAAGTGTATTTAGTGCCATTAGTTCTCAAATCCTGCTGGAATCAATGCAGCCTGCCAGCAGCAGACCCCTTTACCAGGGCAGGTGCTGTAAACTACCTACATTTTGTTTATAGCTGTAACCTGCTATTTACAAAACTTGTACCACCTCTTAACTCCACGAAAAAAGTCCATGTCCCGAGTCCTTTTATCTACAGCTGATCATCTAGAGGAGCAGGTTTGTGATACCGTGGTCAAATATACCAAGCTCAGATACAAAAAAAATTACACTGCAAAGCCTCATGAATTTCACATTATTCTCAATATATCTCATGTGGAAATCACAGATTTTTATTTTTATTTTTTTTTTTTTTGCTTACAACACTTTCCTTATTCAACAGTGACCTTCCCCATGAAGATGATCAAGGGCAGCCAGGAATCTCATGGTTCAGAGTCCAGCCTGGAACAGAGACCCCTGCACATGGTGCCCTTCCCCTCGGAGACCCAAAAGGCCTTTTTAGTAAGAGGAAAGTTTTCTTTATAGCTGGAAACTGAACAGCAGACTCACAGAACATTTCAACCACAAACCTCTCATCAATAACTGCAAAAAAAGTTCCAACTGTTTAGATGCCTTTGCCAAGGGATGGTGTTCACTTCCTTCATAATGCTGTTCCTCAATTTCTGCTTTCTAGTCCCAAATTGTGCTTCATCAGGAAATAAAGAACAGCTGGGTACACGCAGGTGCAGAATGAAGTCTCACAGGGAAAATCATCTCAAAAAATAATATTTACTTCCAATATTCAGGTCTAGTAATAAAATTGTGCAGATCTTTAAATACAGAAAGAAATTAGAGTAGAACCAAATTGTCGTACAGAATTCTATTTTAGCCTACATTTGAATAACCTCACTACAGGCCCCAAAACTGGCAGTTCTGCTTCCCTAATGCTGGATCTAGCAAAGAACGACTGCAACCCCCCCAAAAAGTGATCTGTGCTATTGCCAGATCCAACCCAGGGAGCAGAAGGGAAGCACATCGCCTCTGTCACTACAAGTTTCCATACTGAATTAAGCTTATTAGCGAGACTCCAAAAACTATGTTCTTCCAAATATATAAGACATTGGGTAGTTTTCACGTTGTATAAGACAGGGAAGCGTGTAAATGTAGAAAGACCCTGCTACAAGTGAAGGCAACTTTATCTTCACAGTCTCACCACTGACATCCCTGTTGGTCAAAACCAAAGTCCTAACATAATTCCTATGTAAAAGTGTCTTATATTTCCCTGGAATAGGACTTAACATTTCTCTTGTTTGTCACTATAAAAGAACGTATTTCCTGATATGTAATGAGGCAGGTCACTTATCTATCAAAATGGCAACACAGATGTTTGAAAGAACATACAACAAATTCTTATTATTTACTACGACTATATAAAAGCTGAAGCGAAATCAAATTGAATAACTTGACTACATGAAAGTTATGAAACAGTTTGTATTTTATACACTGAGTATGTACACTGGTTTTGGAAATGTGGGTTTTATCCATGCAAATTTAATACAAAAACTATTTACAAAAAAAAATAACAGTAGGAACATTTTCCAGAAGCAACATGTATGTTGGAAGCTCCAGCAATAATGGAAGTCCTAAAAAAAGACTTAATACAATATTGTACAAGTAGACAATCTTTAGAAGTGAAGATGCACTTTACAAGAACATGAAATGCAAAATTAATTAAAACGCACTAGCAAAGATGTTGCAAGTATATACACAATTTAAGACTCAACTTTAAAATTGTAACTCTCCAGCTGTGCCTCAGAACTACTTCCCCCATGTCCTGCACACATTTACATACTGATCATTTGGTTACATTGCATTTTTCCGAGTTCTTATAATCACCAGTTACAAAATCATATCCTGAATACCAACTGAATGATACTCGTGAAGCAAACACATTTTCCTCGTTCTACACTTTACGTAACAGTAACAAATATTCACATTATTCCCAAGGTAATCCACCAACCCCCCCTTCTGCACCGCCTGCGTACGGCCCTCATGGGAACCAAAGCCTCGCGCTACCTGCAGGTGCAGCGGACACGATCGCTTGCAGCTCGGAACGCCCACAGCTGCAGCAAGGCTAAACGGAACGCCTGGATGCAGCAAACACACCTGTATTAACACTCGCACGTAAATAGCCCAATCTCGCACAGAACGCGTATTAATACTGAACAGTGGGAGCTCCCGTGCCGGGAACGGCGTGACCCAATCCTAAACCAGCACAGCAATTCTGGAAAGATTTCCCTGCTTCACTTGCGTTTAAAAGCGAAACCGAACGGGAAAGCATCCTTGTGTCTATTTCCAAATATTCTCTATTTCACAATCTGCCTTTATAAAACTATTGTGGAAGAAAAAAAAAAATTCTATTTCCCTTATTTCACGTAATTTTGAAAGAAGTGATGAAATCCTCATTAGTGCCAAGAATTCATTTGAAGTGACTGACTTGACATTGCAGCGCAGTTACAAAACTATCGAGGGAAATTTTGGTTTCACTGAAGTCATAGAATCATTTAGGTTGGAAAGACCTTTAAGATCATTCAGCCCAAATGTAAACCTATTACTGCCAAAATGGAGAGTTTCCCGAAACAATTAAATTTGCTGTCAGCTTGAGCTACTCTAATATTTGCTAAGATACTAAGCAGTTCTGGAAAGACTTTTTGGTTTGCTTTTAAGATTAGGATTCTAGAATGCGTATGGAAAAATTACAAAGAAAAGTGTAGTTGGCTATAAAACATCTGAACTATAAATAACTGATTATGTCAATTTTATAACAACTTGTACTCCTTCCATAGATATTAATCAGTTAGCTTTCAGCAATTTTGCTTCCCTTTGCCTCCCACGTTAACGAAAGAAAGAAAAAAGTCAAAACCAGTGAGGGAACAAATACTGCATATAAGCACAATTTTAAGATAGTATGTTTTCAGAATTGCACTATGTGAAATACTTAAAGACGAATAAAGCAAAGCAGCATTTTATTAAGAAACACAGGAGCCAGAACTGCTCCTGTGCAGTGGCAAGTTTAAACCAAAATTCAGTTTAATCATGTATGTTCTCTATTTTAACAGTCAAGATGAGCAGAAATTTTCTTCAGAGGAAGAGAAAAATTTTTTTACCTTCGTTTTTATTTTACAAGAGATCTGTGCCATAAAATTCCTGATCCAAAACCACAGTTTGCCTTTCCCTCCATTTGTAAATGAATGACATGTACAGCACCGTGTGTTGCGTACGGAACAAGAAACAGTATTACTGGTTTGATTCACTCACGTGAGAAGGCAAGTGGCAAACTAACCTGTTAAGAGCCACGGTGCAATTTCCCCTCAGTGAAGTTCTGTAGCTCCTAGAGCAAGCTTCCTGTCTCACTACATCATTCTTTGCTGGTGGAAGCTAAGTACTGGTAAACATCTACTTATCTACTACTCTCAAGTGAAGTTATCCCTTTCCTTAGTGTTTTTATTCAGATTGCAAACATCTATTTAAAAGAATTCTGCAGCCTATGCAGGAGGCGGCGGCACTGTGAGGCAAGGAACTCGCACCAGAGGCCGTTCTGGTCACTGCGAAGGCAGAGGGGTGTGAAATGGCACCAGCCCGGCACCCGACCCAGGGCTTGGAACGGGCAACGCTATCCCAGTGCTGCAGAAAGAGAGAGTGATCCAAAACAGACAACCTTGGGGAAAACAGAAATGCCAAATTTCTTGTTATTGTAACTTCTACAGAAAGCGCTGGGTACTTAAGTATCTTCCTCCCTCAGCGTAAAGTAGCTACAAAACATCTCTTTCTTTCTCTACTGAACCTAAAAGGCTTTTCGTTGTGAAGTGATTCAATGTGGAATCAACTCAGAGCACCCTCTGCTTCGACAACTACACTTTGCCTTTCCCATTCCTATCCTAATTGACTTTTTTATTCCAAAGAGTTGTCTGTAAACAGGAAATATTTCACTAGTTTTGTGTGTGTTGCGGTGGCGTTTTGTTTATTTGCTTTTCTTTTTCAAGTAGTAGTCACTGTTTAATATGGTGCACCTCAAGAAACACAGATACATTAGCCTGACTTAATGAGGAAAAAGAGAAATTTGATTTACCAAGTCATCTCCTATCTGCAGAAAGTGCTAAAAACTCCCACAAGTTGCTTTCAGTTGAAATCAGCGGAATTATTAACATCTCTCTGCACTGGCATACAGACTGGTTCTCAGACAGGCAGAGTGTGGCTGTATTAGATACAACAGTTAACTTCCATACAAGCATTTAATAAATCAGCAGAAGAAAGGAGTGCCAGACATCTGTCCTTCTCCTTAATACTGAGAAGACACGTGGAAACTTGGGTTTAGTGACAACAAATGCTTTTTCATTTTTTGCTTGAATTTGGCTACAGATTTATGTCAAAAATCTGAGAAGCCTGCCATGGCTGCTATGGTCTCCAGCTTAAGTGTTCAATAAATCAAAAAGGTAAAATCTTACTGCAGGCAAGAGCAAAACTTGCACTGACTTCAGTGAAGCTAGGATTTTACCCAGAAATTCTTACGATTCGTGTCATAGTTAGTTATTGTTTCAGATGTATTCATCTTTATTTTATGATAATTTTAGTTCCTGGTTATATTTTGGAAGGCCTCCAGATATCCAGGTATAGATGGTTTTCTGCATCCCCAGCAAGCACACTGGATGAGCAGTATTATATAACCGATGTGAAGCATTTCTGAGATACTGTGTGGGAAGCCACCACACTTCACGATTATTTTAATGCCACTGCTTTAAGATCTCACAATATCTAGGATATTATTGCTTAAATGAAAGATCATTCACGTGCGACATACTGCATCCAATGACACAAAAAATATACAAGGCCAGAAGCCCTGTCAGTACGTTGATTCACTCTAATTTACAATTCATACCCCATTATTGCAGTAACTTTGTAGAGCATTCACAATAACAAAAGCACCTTAGCTAACTCTTAAATTTATCAGGAAAACTTAATGCAGTTTCCTACAGCCTTTAACACTGACTTTTCTTCACATCCAAAGTAAAAACTGAGCAACCACTATAGGAATTGGGCAGGCCTCTGTTTTTAACCATCCCATCAGCTGTACCAAGTATTGACATTTCATCCTAAACAAAACAGGAAAAGAACATCTCAAACATACTAAACATTGATAGCAGGAATTCTGGAATCACAGTAGTTCACCAATGCCACCGGAGCAATTTCTTTAAGGAAAAAGTAAAGAGGAAGGAGGAAAGTAGCATGCAGTAATCAACAGTGTGAAGTCACTAGATCTGTGAACAAACAAAAATAAACAAGATGATGTTGGAGTCAAGTGAAAAGGGAGAGAGGGGATAGTAGGCAAATTCTTGTACAGGGAAGACAGCAACAATTTCCACACTCTGCTTAAAACTTTAAATGCAAAACTTTTTTAGCATCCTTTCTGCAGTTGCTCCTAAAAAAAAAAAAAGTCACAATGGGAACAGCCAATTTTAGCAAGTCTTTAGACTATTATTTATAAAAGCAGCTAAAGAAAAATGAGGAGAGATTCCCCCAGGCACAATGGACCTCTTCTCAGATTGCTCCTAACGATACTTGAAGGCCTTAATCTTTGTACTGCTAAAAAGGAAGCCCTGGAAGAATCATGGTTACCCTTCCCCATAAGCATGGAGAAGGCTGTAATAAATTCCAATGAGTGGCAAAACAAGACTGTTTCTACCAAGTTTGTGGGGAAGAACTCCAGAGTACTAAATAAAATAAAATAAAATAAAATGCTATTTTAGTATTTTTCAACTTGAAATATAGTTTAAAATGAGTGCATTAATTTCATATCCAGTTTTCAAGTTACTTAGGAAATAAGCTAAGCTTAAAAAAAAGAAACTGGTAAGCATCTGGCAAGCTACGTCAAGGGAATTCTTAATGCTTGTGCTGTGATACAACTTTATAAATTTAGTTCTAGTAGGAAAAAAGTTACTTTAAGATAAAAAGCATATTTAAATATGACAATGAAATAGTAGTGTAGATGAGTTTAAGCCAGATAACTGAAAATGACAATTTAGAGTTAGCAATTCTATGGCCAACACAGTGAAATAGAACTTTGTCATTGTCAATACCACAGCAAGGAATTGAAAGACTTATTCTTTTTGAATGGTTGTGTTCTTCAAATGCTAATGAATTATATTACTTTTTCATCTTAGTCCTAGCATGACTTTTGAGATACTGCCTTTAATGAAAAACAGAGATTGAAGTTTTTAAGATGAGTACTATGTGACTGAATTCAAAACCAATTAAGAGATTTGAAATACCACATTTCAAAGGTTAAAGCAATCCAGTTTCCTTAAACAAGTATTTATGTAACCTAAGATTTCTATCTAGGACTTTACAAATTAAGTTTTACACCAGCCTCTCCATGAACTATATTTTCTTTAAGAAAACACTATATAAACAAGAGTGGCTTTAACTATTACACAGGAATCAGCTTGTTTCAATGGATTTAAAAATAATGTTGTTTTTTTATTTTGTTTTGTTTTTTTTTAAATCTTGGTTATTTTTCCTCTCAGCTATTGATTTTAAGGACGACTGTAAATAAAGCAAGGAGTAAATGATACCCCTCCCTCATTCTTTTATGAATTATATTACATGGGGTATCGATCAATTGGAAAGAACAGAATCAAATCTTGCTACACACTTGGCAAAGATGTCCCTCAATTGAAATTAACTTAGCCTGAAATAGAAGATCTCTGACAGTCAGAACTTTTTTTTTTTTTTAACCACCTATTAATGAAGCACAAACTAACGCAAACAGATTTATTACTAAAATTATGAAATTATTTGCAATTCGTTTGGAGAACTCAACTGTGTATGGTTTCATACTGTTCTCAAAACACCAAGAATTTGTGCAGAAGCAAACAAATACATAAACTCAGAAGTTTCAGAAAAACACCAGAGTGGAAACTCTTCTTTTTCACATTTATCCAAAAAAGTCTAATGTCTCAGCACAGTGACATTTGTACAAACTGATTTGTGTGCTACGCCACACTTGTGTAAATTACACAATAAATCCTGTAAACACTAAAAAGATAAACACTGGTATTTCCCAACTAAATTATGGACATACCTGTTGTAAAAATGTAACATGAGATCAGAAGCAATATTACACAAAATCCTGACAGTCATAGCGTAAACCTGAGATTTTGGCAGTTTTATCAAAATGTCCTAAATTACTCTGTATGCATCACTAGTCCTCATGTCTTACCATGTATATTTGTTTGTCCTAAACAAAGAAAAGTAGACAACTTTTTCTTGTCCAACAATACATTAAACCAAAAGTGATTAGGTATTATCAAATTAAATATCATAAATAAGAAGTATTTACAGTATTTTCTAATTATTAGACAACAAAATAACCAATTAAATTGTGCAACAAACTTAAAACACCCAACATCAAAAAATGTGAAGTATTACTTAAATCTTCACGTACTGATTTTACAAAAAACTATTAAAATATTTAAAAATTTTCATTTTATCTATTTTAAACAAAGAAATTTCAAAAATGTTTAAGACTATTAATAGTTATCAATTACACAGGCACTTCACATGTAAACAATCTACAGTACAACTGAAAAAAATATTTGGCACCAATCTAGAAGACTGGAAAAACTCAATAAAATGTGTCCTTTTCCCATTGTATACTGTTTTGTGTAATCACCATACAGTCAGACTAAATACTGGCAATGTTGTGTGTAAGTTACAATCAGGAGTGCAAAAAATAAAGAACACAAATATTAAGATTTCTGAGAGAGTGAGCGTGGATTATAAGCGATCAGTCACTCGCATTTTTACCATCATACCATCGCTACATTTTTGTCTTACCTTTAAATCAAACAATTGACTTGAAAGATTAAAGTCAGGGAGGGTGTGTGCTTTGTACTTCTAAAATAATTCAAACAACATTTTCAATGTAGGAAAAGAAATCCAGCATTTAACTGTAACACTGAGATGTTAAATGGCAGCTTTTAACTTAAATTAACTGGAAAGAGAACCTGATGCTACCACAATCTCTTTGTGCATCTAATTACAAATGAAAAAATGAGTAATTGTGTTCTTTTAACTGGCAGCTGACTCCAAGGTTTTCACGTACAACTCCAAAGTAAGGCTCTCTACAGCATCTGGACAGATATTAAGTTTTTGATGGCTTGGATGTTCCCGTGTAGGAAGCTGAACTGCCTCAGAGCAGTCCAAATCAACAGATCGCATGGTAAGTTGTCTAGCTTCCAAGAAATCGTGTCACATGGAGGAAAGCTGAGATACTTTCAACACAGGCAATTCAAGCAGAGCTTGAACTGTGAGGCCAACCTTCACCAGACCCCTTTCCTCCAGAATGTGATGAGGCAAGCAAAGTCTCTCCTGCAAAATAAAGCAGAACGTGTATCAAGCATCATTCATTTTTTTCCCCTGAAGACAGGTAAAAAGTGCATCCTCTCTGAAGTCACATACACCACTGCAAGACACTTGCATAGAAAATGTCTTTGGTCTTAAATTTCACATGTGGTTCTCCACAGTAACAGAATGGTCAGCAACTATTTATATCTAAGATCTCTTTAAAATTTTAAACTGCAACAACATCAGAAGATACATAAAAGGCAGCTATTTCATAAAGCCAAAGACTCTAGTTCTTTTCATAAGCAGAGCAAGGAACCAGGCTGACAGGCACTGTTGGCTCAGTGGCTTACAATTCCCTTTCCTTGTTTTGTAGGCTTACTAACAATTTTTCCCTTGGAAGAACTTGGAAGTGCTGATATAGACTGGGTCCTCAGTAAGGAGTCTTTCCCCAAGAAAGTCATCTTTCAGTTTCAAAATTCAGCACAAGCTGGACAATTTTCCCAACTCCTAGATGGTGTTACGTGTAATTTAGAAGGTAAATCTTAGCATCTCAACTTCTGTATGGCCTGGGGCTCCACGCTAGATAGAAGCTGTGGCAGATCAGTAACCCAGGCTTCTACATTCCTGAAATGATTTTCTTGTTCCACTAAAAAGGGTCAAGGGAGTTTGTCTCTTGTAATATGCAGGAAATCACTTGGTCTTTAGGTTTTTTCCCCCTCATACAGGGAAGAGGATGAACTTGGGCAAGAGAAACATGAATAATGGGCTGCAACGATGGCTATGCTAAGAGATAGCTAATCACTGAGGCTATGTATTTCTACAGTTGCAGGATTGTCCCTAGGCAGACGCTGAAATTCACACCAAAGGGAGTTGCTAAACTCAAGAGTTTCAAATATTACAACATCCTCTCACATTAGTTCTTTTGTTCAGATGATGATTTATTTTACAAGGAGGTATTATTTTTACTATAAGGAACTGACTAGAAACCCATAAAGTAGCTTCCTCAAATTTATGCCCCAGGCCAGAAATGGGACAACTTTTCATATCTTCAAGTTCCCTGGTCACTGTTATAACCATTACCGCTCCCTGAATAAAGCACCCCCCAAAAACCCCAACTTCAGTATTTGCTGTTATTTTCTGTGGTTATTAGTAATAAGTCAATAAAGCAATTAGTATACCTGTGGAACGCCCAATTTTTTACAAGCATCAAGAAAGTTTTCAACATTTCTTCGGCACTTTGCCATACTGAGTTTAGGCTGTAAAGACAGGATGTTAGATCTTCATCATACATTCATGAAGGATTGTATATTTCTGGTGCAAATTCACTTACAGTTGCTAAAACACAAAGCAAATTCTATGAAGACTCAATATACAAAAATAGCTCTTAATCTAAACTTCTGAACCTTGTTTAATGCTTCTTGCAGAAAAATGGAAGTGAGGAATGCAGCCAGTTAATAAAGTAAACATGATTCATGATGTTTTAGCGTTGAACTTCAAAAGCTTGTTTTCACATAAGTTGCAACAAAAGTGCGATAAATAACTTACCACTGCTGGCGATGGTACGTGAATGCTGGCAACAGAACGTGGCCTTATGTGATTGGCTAAATGGCAAAGAACTACTCCATCCATCAATGCTGCTCCAATGTCGTCTGGCAAAATTACTTTCAACCTTGATTCGAGATTCTATTAAAAAGTCCATAAGTAAGATATTTTCAACATTAGTTAATTTTTCATTTTAAATCCAGGGCATTTTAAAGCATTCAGTTTAAAAGGGACATTTTAATACTAAATTAAATGGAGTCAACTCAAGTTTTATTGAGTACAAATATCCTTTTCTCTTCACCATTAACCTTGCATTCCCTTTGCCTTTTTTTTTTTTTTAATGACACAACCACAGACATTGAGAAAAACATTCAGCTAACAACTACCACGATACATAACCCTCAAAGCCATACAATTAACTCACTACTTGTAATAGAAAGCACAGAATTTAAGGACAGAAATGTTAGGCTGAACACTGCTGGCTGTCAGTGTGCAGAATTTGTGGGTTAAAATCATATACAATTTTACTAGGAGAAAGGGGGGGTTATGGGGAAAAAAAAAAAAAAAAAAAAAGAGGGGAACAAAACCACTTCAGGCATGGCTATTTCAATTTTGCGAACGATAGTTAAATAGCTGAGGAAAGGGTGGCCAAGAAGTGCCCACACTTGCGTTGCAAAAGAGAGAAGGGTAGCAGGGAATGTATTTTTCCCACCCCAGCAACAAGCCTTCACCGCACAGGAAGTGAACCAGACAAGACAAACAGCCTTCATAGAAGTCACACCCCAAGGTAGTTCTGCCCTGGAAAGCAGAGCTGCTACAATTTGAAGTTAACGGTAACTGTTAAATATCTTGAGAACAGAACCATACAGAAAACTTACTGGAAGTCTGAAATTTAGATCCCATTCAGGACTGTGTAACTTGCAGCAACTTTCTACACTCAAAAAGCATCTGGCTATTCAGAAGACTATGACCATCTTTCTTCAAATAGCAGCAAACCCAAGCAGACTTACTGTATCCCTAGGAAAACCTAAAACCTCAGAAACTTAAAAAAAAAATTTGAAGAAATTAATTTTTTATTTCACTTCATTTTTTGGCTAAAACATTGAATTTCGTTCCTGGTTGGTATTTTGATTGGACCAGTGTTGAACCAGTGTAGCCTGTTACATGAAGTTCCTTAGGAAGAAATATCACTACAGAGATGCCCTTGTACAACTGTAATGATTTGCAGGCCTTTATTATAAAGGTTTAAGTTGTGGTACAGAGCAGACTAAATGCACCGCACCGATATAGTAAATAATGGTACATACATTGCGAAGTTGTCTTATTTGTTCTCTTTCTTCCCTTAAATGCTCCATTTTCCTCCTCATTGTAAATCCAGGATCCACTGCACCATAGTCCTGGCGCGACGCACGGCTGAAAGCTATTAAATATTAGTGAAGTTAGTGTTCAGAATTCAAATTAAAACAATACAATGACTAAAAATCTACAACCAAGGATAAAAATTGGAAAAAAGCTGCAATATACTTATTATGTATATTATTAATATTTTAGAACAAATATATTTAAGTATCTCAATGTAAAAGATGCTGGCTATGAAACTCATCTTTCAAATAAAATACACAGACCATCTTTAAGTGCAAATAGGTAACTTGAAAATATGGAGACAGAACTGACTTCAATATTCCATATCTGTTTGAGATATACTTAATTTTCACTATTGCAAGCTTATCCTGCCATCTAACTTTGAAAGTATTTTAACTGTGTTTTACTTTTAATCAGGTATAAAGTCTTTACGGAGACTAAAAAAAGGGACAGAACTCCCAGATATAACTCACAATGAAAGACTTAAAATATATATACACACACACACGCACACATATGTGCACGTGTTAGGTGTGTATATGTAGAGACATGATGACTGCTTATTAAAGAACTAAGTGTGAAACATCACATATGGAAGTTCAGAGTTCTTTCAAAAGGAGGTCTGTTAAGTAATTACATTCACTTTACCATTATTCATGGTCAGAAAGTCTTAAAATGACAATTCTCTTACTTTACAGAACATTGGCAAATAACTCTTCTGCAGCAATACCACTGTATCCTTAAGTATTTCATCCAATCCTTTTGAGCCATAAAAAACATAAAATCAGTACTTACACCTTCAGAACTTTCTATATTGTTTCTAATAGTTTGGATTTTAGCAAGAGATCTAACAATCAAAGATAACAGAAATGTTATAGGTAGTCTTGAAATCACTGCTCTGCTTCTGTACATTATGAGAGTATGTGGTTTCTATACAGAAAAAATAGAATATTACCAGCAGTATCTATAGAAGCTTCTAAAACCAGTAAGATTTTGGCTTGTAACTAAGAAACAAAATGCCATTCACTTTCCTAGAACTGAGTGAAAGGGGTGCTGCTGTTTTACAGACTGAGCTGGCAGTGGCTCCTAGGAGATGGGCTGGAAGTCCTAACAAGTCTGCTTCCACCCCTCAAAACTGCACCTTCCTGCAGCCAAGGATGTAGATAACTCAGAAGCCTCTGAATGATCACAGCCAGGCATGCAACCATCCTAACTGTCTCTGGCACAGAAGTTTCACACAAGTGCTAGCAAATCTCAAGTGACTTAAGAGCCCAGAAGCAGCTACTCACATGATGTCAGCCAGATACAACCTACTACTCTCACAGGGTAATATTAAGGAAGCCAAGCTTTGCTACCATAAACACTGAATGAAATTAAACTGAAGAGTTCTCATCATTTTTTCTGAATGAATTTGCATGAAGACTGTTCCCTTAAAAGCAGAGAAAAGTGGTATTGACTGGAAAAAGGATTTCACAGTGGCTTTTCTAAACTATGTTTTATACTGTTGATATCTATTATTCACAAAGACAATTGCAAATAAAAGAATACTGTAACTGAATAAAAAAAAAGTATTATTTCTACCTAGATTTCAGAGGACTGAAAGTCTGCTTTAGACAATACAGCTTGCTTATGTGTGGCAGTGTTTTAAAAGAGTCAGGGTGCAAAGCACTAAGCCACAGAACTCCTGACAAAGCTCTGCTCAAAGCATCCTTTCATAGGACCAACTCCAAAAATCTACTTCTCTTGAAACCCTCCCACCTCAGCTACCAGATCCCAAGAACAATTGTATGCTGTTTGCCCGTTCTTTGACAGTGACTAAATATGCACAAAATATATCAGTGGGGAAAAAATTAAAAAACAAAAAAAAACACACAAACAAAAACAAAAAAACACTGTGCAAACTCAGGGAACTTTCAATCATTTATTTGCCAAAGCAGCTGTCTATGTCTTTCCCAGTACTATGCTTGTGATAAGTATGCTGAGTGGATTCTGTACTGTGGCATCTCTTCATATTCATTCCAATTCATGCATCTGCTATCCTTACCAGGATATTCCAGCCCAGGAAATTGGTTTTATCTGTTCTATCACGCTATGTTAGAGAAGAACAGCTAGAGAACAGCAGCTTACCTGACCTTGGTTTGAGACCAAATGGACCATGAGTGTTAGTGTCTGTCCTTTCATAATCCTGTTAAAAAGAGAAAGTAAATTTTCTTTCATTCGTTAAAAGTATCTTCATTCCCATCAAGAAAGTGTTTAAATTGTTCTTGCCTAAGGAAAGTGAGTCCTTCTGCTTAACTCTAACACACTCTTTTGAAGGGGATACTATAAAGTAAATGGAAAGAAAGTGATCTCATTACATGCAGGTAGAATCCCTTACTGAGGGAGAAAAAGCAGCACCAGATTAACTAAAATCTACTCTAAAGCATTTCAAACTACTGCAAACCATACTGTGAACAGAGTTCTAAGCCAGCTGTAAGCAAATGCAAAGAGCCTCCAAATGCTTAGCATCAAAATATTTCTTTAGAAATGTTACTTTCAATTGCAAAGACCAGGTTTTTCTCATTTCATCATCTAGAAAGAGATGCATTCAGTAATTTGCTATGTACACGAGATATCCTTATTTCAGCTCATTTTACTGTATCTGGGAGATGTTCTTATTCTGTTCCCACAGGTTCCTTATTGACATGAAGTAGAAACGTAGAGCCACAGTGAGACTACATGGACATTCCTTAAAAAGGAAAACAACCAGTGAACAAAGCTGCAAGGCTACACCACAAAGCAGCAGCCAGAAGTGCAGAGGATGAAACACCCTAAGAAATGTCAGTACCTTTGGGTTCCCTGTGATATACAAAATACTAAACTACAAGTTTTACTTAAAATCCTCTGGATGGCTAGTGCATAGGGGACACCTACAAAATATGGAAAATTTGATTTTTGTTTTATTAGCTGTTTTCATTACGAAAGATAGAGACAAAGCAATGCATCTTTCTACATACCAGTCAAAAAGAAATATAGGAGAGATCAGATGGTTGCAAAGGTAAACCAAGTTGTAATACCTGTATCTATCATAATAAAAAAATCATAGATAGATAGAAACTAAAGTATTTCTAATTGCAGTTTCAAAGGAAACTAAGAGCTTTATAACTGCATTGAAAACCTGGTGACAAGTAATGCACACAAAGAAATGCAAAGAAATGTTTGTTGAATGAAAAACAAAACCACGAACTTGTACCTCAGATGACACAGGAGACTGTGGGGACACATTAGTATTATCACTGTCTTGCTAAAAAGAAATCAAAGAGATGAAATTATAAAAATGAAAATTATGATTTAACAAGAAACACGAAATTATGAAATACACAACACATGAGACATGCAACATTTGTCAAGTACGTGACAAACTGGCAGCAGCAACTAAATTTAAAACTCATCTAAGTCAAGGAAACACTGATCACTGTTTATGTCGAATATTACTTTTACATTAACTCTGCTTGTCAGCTGAATTAACTCTCCTATTACTGGAGCAAGTAAATGTCCTACTTTCCCCCAGTACACAAGGTTGATGGCTTGTTTCAAATAAAGGAGTATTATACTGATTTCTGCTATGGCTTTGGAATGCAAAGTTTGTTTGTGTGTACTCTAGCCAATGTTCTCCTGTTCTGTGACTGTGGCCCGTAGATGTGCATAAAAGACAAATTAATAAAGTATTTTCTTAAATATTTTACACAACTACTATTTCTCACCTCATCATTTTCATTTCCACTTGAACTCTTTCTGGAAGACTTATACTGCAAAACACACACAATTATTACTTTAAAATGGAAGTATGGTTTTCATTTGAACTAAATGGCTTGATATCATTCAGATGTTACTTATTACTGGTGAAGCTGCTGAGGAAAAAAACCACATTACAGAATCAAAGGAGCAAAAAAGAAACAAAACAAAATGAACATCTAGTTCCTAGGCTAGTCTAGATCTCATGTTGATGAGAGGGTAAGAGCATTTTAAAACTAAGTACTTCTATAACACGAACTCTGACTGCATATGACAGTTGATCCAAGTGAAAAGATCCTAACAACTGCTACTCTGAAGCATTAATTGTTAGAAAAAAGTATGCAATCTGTGAAAGTTACTGTTACAATATGTTTGGTCATGTAACTTTAAGATTGCTTACACTGAAAGATTGACACGACACTGTAAAAAAAAAAAATAAAAAAAAAATCAGTATTTCCTTTACAACTTAAGGCCTGATCACATCTTTTTATCTATTTAAGATCACCACTTTTTCCACAGGTCCATCTGACTTGTTGCACACTTCCTTCCTCAGTGTCCCACTTGATTAAATCTAAAGTGGAGGAAAAGGCGGGACTGAAGGAAGAAATTTTAAAAAAATCAGTATTTAAGAAAATAAGCATATTCCATTGCCTGCAGAGAAAGCGTACAGAAAAACAGAAAAAAACCATGAAGCTAGAATTAAGATCCATCATTACAAAACTCTGATAGGTGCATTGTGTGTATGATCAGCCTACCCATCTTCATGACACAACACATAACACAGGCTTAGAGACTAAGTTTGGAACTGGAAGGATGGTTCTCCTTCAAAGATCTGACTTTTAGAGGTACATACAGGTTTTAGTTAGAAGAATTTCTTAAAAAGGAAAAAAAACCTGACTTGCAACTATGTTCTTTAGGATTAATAAACACGCCAACTTAGATAGCTCTTACAGAAAGTTGTATTTACTAGTTATGCAGAAAAGATGCTTGTCTTCAAGGTTATAACTGAGCACTGCTGGACTGTAAAACTGAACAGCTTTATAGAGTTGAATCTTCAGCAGCTTTCTGAACTACATGCAGAACAAAGCTGACAATGGTGAACAGCACCTCTCTTGAAAATGGAAGTCTAGGACAAACAGCCTTTGTTAGCTATCCCACTACCGTTCATTTTCTGTGCCAATTAAACGCGTCTTCTGAAGAGTGATTGAATAAAGTGTCAGTTCTTGGTTTGTAAAATTCTTCTGCTGTTTTGGGTTTTTTGGTGTTTCAGGTTTTTGGTTTGTTTGTTTTGAGGGGTTCTAGGGAGGGTTTTGTGAATTTTTTTGGGGGGGTTGATTGTTGTTTTGGTTTTTTGAGCTAGGCACAGAGTACAGGTAGTTCTGGGGTCAGATAGAGACCTATTACATATAGCCATGACTGGATATTTCTCTTCTTGGGTTTATTTCCTGTATGTTTGAAGTACGAAGTAATATATTACTTTGGCAGCTGGTTTTCTATGCCCTGCAGACCTCTGCTGCTGACTTCTGTTTATACAGGCCTCTGGCCTTCTGTGGTCATGTTTTTCCACCCATAATTAACCATATCAAAGCTAGCATGTAGCGTATTCACAATGGAAAATAACTGCTAACAAGAATTTCAGCTTGAATGTAGCTAGGATCCAAAACAACTACAAACAATTCCAGAGGAGAAAAAAAAAAAAAAAAGACAATTTGCTTGATTTTGCATTGTCTTCAGTGGTAAAATTCTTCTTACATATTTAATTCAACAAAGATTTCAGGTTCCAGTGAGACTTCAGTGCAATGCCACAAGGAGCTCTGATCCTCATGAGCATCTTCCTACCCTTCTGCTGCACAGTACAACTGCACAATAAAATATGTAACGTATAATAGAAATGCTCTATAAATACTTCTGGATGCTGATCTAACTAAATTTTCCCTGTTCTAATGACACTCACTGCAGTAATTTGGCATGTATTCTTAAGATAGTTATATCTGGCAGTACAGGTATGATTATTCAATGAGCTATTTTTGCCAAGAAAACATAGACACAATATGAATTGTATTTTCAATGGTTTCTCATAACAGCAGTGGTATCTATCTTTTTTTCAGTTTGCCAAAGGAGACAGACTTTGTTCCACTTACTTATTGCCTTGCTTTTGCAAATGAATCTATCAGTGATACAGTATTTTTTGTTACTGGTACAGCCTGCTTAATTCACCTCTGAGACATGTCTCTAGCTGTACGTAATGTGATGTCAGGTATTTGCTTCCATCACGGAGCTCAAAACTGAAATCTGTATTAGCATTTAAAGACATCCTTTAAAGTGATGAGGAATCACTAATGCAGGTCTGCTGTATTTACAGCACAGCTATTTAAATGAGTCAAATCACTGAGTTCTGTTTAATTTAGAAGTTTCTCCCGTCCCTCTTAAAGGCTGCAGAGTAAAATTAATTTAGGGACGAAAACCGTGAAAAGAGGATACAACTCCATGAACTCTTCAGGGGAGAAAAAAAAAAAAAAGCTTCTATTATCACAAGAATGTATCTGAGCTGTATGGCATGCCCTGTTTTTCCTATAATTTGATTTCTTTGAAGCTCCCTAGCATTTCATAAAGATATTTGATGGCAAAGACCCAAAAAATTAATTTAATGAGTGACAAATTTAATTTTAACTCAACCTAGACTGGTCAGAATTCTATTTCTCTACCATACCTCAAAACAAATTTTATCTAATGCTGCTATAACTTCTCATCTTTTTTGTAATAAGCAGACACTGACATCTTGTGACCATCGGTACACACTACAACAGCAAAGTAATACAGAGAAAATTTCCTCTCTAAAATGCAAACTTATACAGTGAGATGCAAAATGCATAAATCATTCTTCTAGCCACACTGCCACTGCACAAAAAGGTAATAATTTCATTGCACTACCAAAAAAAAAAAAAAATCCCTCAAAACAGATGGGGAAGGACCAACAACTAAAGATTAGTTTCTGGCTTTACTAAAGGACAACTGTAAATTACTACTTTTATTTTTTTTTAAAAAAGATGAACAAAGTCCTTGGTTGATTTTTTTCCCTTCTGATTTTCCTGCACTCTTTCATTACCCTAAATACATACATATATGTATTATTTAAAATCAGAAGAGCCGAATAAAAAATTACAGGTTACATGCAAAATTAAAAGTATGACAACCTTTGAGGTTTTCTTACCTCTACTTAGTTATACAGTTTCTTCTACTCTCATTTTTAAAAAAAGCCACCCACCCACACTCTCCCCCATTACCTTGAAATACTCCTTTCTAATTTGTTTACTTCTCCTCCTTTCTTCATTCTGCCAAATCACTGGCTGTGTTTCTGGCCAGTGCTGCTCATCCACTGAATCCTTCTGGTTTTCCAGTGGCTATAAGGTTTAGAAATATTTCTACGTAAAAGGCAAATATACCTCGTGTGCATTAAAACATATTATTATGAACTGCACTTATGAATTGCTTGCCTCTCAGAATCTAGCTTTATGACATGAAAGTGCTATCAGTCTTAATGGTTATTCTGGTAGAAATCACTTATTTCCTTTCAAATCCTAAGCCATAATTCATAGGAAAATAGAATCTATTAAATAATTCTTAAGTAAATATTAACATCTTTTTCTGCATTGGGCCTAATTTTTGCAGGTATGTTAGGAAGCCATCTAAGGCTGCCATAAATAACTTTAAGTTAGAAGTCTTGTTAGCCACTAGTGTATCTAATTTTTCAATCTGAATACTCACTGCACAGGAAAAGGATGGCTACAAGACAATTTAAGTATTTGTCTGCTGTTCCTATCTAAAAGATTATACGTATCAACTAGCTGTAAAAATAATCTCTCTTTCAAAGTACTGTATGGTGCAACATAATCTGAAGTAATAGCTGAAGTATTTATTCTTAAAGTAACAATGAATACATATGTCTATTTTATGAACACTGTAAGCAGACAATCTAAAGGCACCATTTCATAAGGCTAAAACTACATTTCCAACTATTTCTTCATATTAGAATATCAGGTCATTTAAATCAATTGTAAATACTTGATGGATTAAAATCTAATAAAAAAGTACTCTACAGTTTCTCTGTAATTTTATCATATCATGCAAGCTTCTCAGTGAGGTATGGGAAATGAAAGGCCTGCATAATTCAAACCAGTCAGAATTTTTTTTTTTTTAAATTAGATTATGGTGAGGCAATAAAATTTATATGTGAAGAAATACCAAATGCAAGTAAGTAAAAATTACATCTCATTAGTTTCAAGATCTTAAAGCTAGTACCATATGCTCTTAAAATAAAAGGCCTCCATTACATACAAGTCAAGTTATCTTGAAGCATAAGTTCTTCACAGGTTTTGTCTTTTCCAGCACAATTACATACACACAAAAACTATGTGTGTAAGCAGCCACATGAATGTATAAAAGTCTTCTGCGAGGAATACAAAAAAAAAAAAACCCAAAAAAAACCCACCCAAAAACAAACAAAAAACCCCAAACGAACAACAAATCACTCAAATATGGAGCCACCACATTTACATTTGAATATTTACCTGCCAGCTGTATGGGGACACTGGGGAATTCACCTCATCTGTTGAGACACTAAAAATTAAGATGAGAGGCATTATGAAATTCACTACTTCTTAGTGTACTTTAAAATAAAACTACTTTAAATTTTCAAAAAAGTGAACAGTCATAAAGCAGTTTCTCTGCAGCACGACAGTATTTTTTGGCTATCTGTGTTGTCTAAGGATGTCAAAATGTGGCTAAAAAGTATTAACATTTGACTAAAATCTCAAATCGTATTTCACTCTCCTTTACTATATGCTGACAATAGGTATTCCACACCACAGTACTTTATACAGATAAAGTTTTTCTTAAGCATGCTGATCTTCAGAGATTATTAATTCACCTTCATCATTTTGTTTCTCAAAGCAACCAATGAGACATTTTGTTCAAAGCTGACAAGAGCTATTCTTAAACTTTTGGAAGACTCGCATGTTGCATTTCACTGTTAGCTCTACACAGTAAAGTAGAAGCTTACACAAATACAGAAGGAAAAATATTTTAAGATGGAACGGTGAAACTGCAAAATCTCAAAAAATACATTCTGGAAAGTGGACTGCCTGAGATTATTGAAAGTGTAACTTCAGCTTTTTTCTTTCTAAATCTTTCTGTGAAATTAATTTCTACCATCTTACTAGTAAACATTTCATTCACATTCTGACAGCTGGCTTAGAAACTGTGCTATATACCCAAAGGCTAACAACTGGGGATTGAATGCAAGGATATACCACCATCAGCAATGATATTAAATCCTGAAGGAAAAGCAACTAGGCAATTAGCTTCTGCTGCTTTTTACTCCTTTCCCTTCCTTTTTCTTTCTGTTTGTCTCAAACCAATAATGTTACTTTTTAAAGCTGTTATGCATAGGAAATTTGTCTGAATGATGTCCAATGGGTTGATAAGCAATCCAGTTGATAATTGCAGGAAATGCTGCAATAAATAATGAAGTTTTGTTGTTAATACGTGTGTATCTATTAACTATGAGATGTTCTTTAAGTGTAAATTCTTTAGGGATATGACAGTCTTTTTACTCTCTTTGTATGTTCCTTACACAGTGTGTGATTTGGGTTCTTATGTAACAGTGTAATAAAACAACAAATAGCCTGCAACATCTACCTTATCTTGTGTGCATACCTCAAAATTAAGGGGGGTGGGGGTGGTTGGGGTTTTTTTTTGAGGTGTTCTTCTGTTTGGTTTTGTTTTGGTTTTAAGTCTCAGAACTGATTCTGTTTCATTAACAAAATAGGGAAAGGTAAACCTAGCCTTTCCTGGATTACCCGCTAGTGTGAAAGCCAAACATAACTGTACACAACAGGTGACAGCAACCCAAAGAACAGAAACTGTATGTTAATTAACCGAGGACTAGAAAGTTCCAAATGCAAATAAGTAATAGATGCAACACTGTTCATGCAACCATAGGTCATGTGTGCAATGAGGTCTTTAAGCCCACAGATACCAATAAGAGAGAAGATAACCAAAATAGGATGTATCACATTGAAAGATCTACACCATGTCCTTTTTCTGTTTGAGTAAATGCCTTCCTAAGGCGTATCTGAGCTGTAGAGAGCTGCTACCACCCCACAGTGCTCTCTCAGCCAAACTAGGGTCTGGACACAAGCAGATACAGATTCTTTTGAAGGTACAGAGTTTAGAAGCCTATGGGGCTGGCAAAAATCACAAAAGCTACTGTTCGAATGAAGCTCTCATTAGGTGGCTGCCAGTCAGCTTAAAAATGAAAGCTCTCTAGCTTAAAAATCAGATTATTTCTTGACCAAACTGATTAAAAGAACTGATTTAGGATTCCTTAAGGTAGGGAGGGCTGAGAACTTGCTAAGTTTCTCTCACCCATGTAGTCAGAAATGGGAATTTGTGATTTCCCAATTTCCTAAAGACAAGGCTCTGAGTATTTTTGTTTGTTGTGCTTTTTCTTTAATTCAAGCAGACTGTAAGAGTACAGCTCCTGCAAACAATGGATTCCTCATTGACACATCCTCCACAAACAGTGAAGGTTTTGCCGACTGAGCTCCCAGTAACACTTTTTCAACAGGTCTTAAGAGCACAAAAGGACTGCCAGGGAAAAAAATGTAGATGCCTAAGAAGAGCTACAGTGCCACTTCACGTAACAGAATCCAACACATCTGCACAGGACTGTTACCTATGGGAGACATGACCTTCTGGACTGGATGTCTAAAACATCACTGAATGCCTATCTTTAGGTATCCAAATTGCTGCCACATTTGGACCCACAGTTAGCTTCTGGATGACATCAACTTTCCTAAAGGCTCAAAAGAACAGTTGTTTTTTTTTTTTTTTTTTTTTTAATCTGAAAGAAAGAAGCTCAAGAACAGATTATTTATGTAGCTTCTATTTCATCTTGAACTAAAAACATTGTGACAGAAGATGGCAGTATCAAAACAGAATAAATACGAAAATTAAATTAACACAACATTAAAAGCTGTGATACATTTAAGTATATCAATACCATTTTTCAGATTCCATTGGTTGCTTTGGCCTGTTCCTTGTGCTTACTGAAACTGAATGATTAAGAAGCCTAGAAAGAAAAAAAAAATACGTATTTATTCAACAGCTTTGTAGTTGAACCTTTCTCTTAGAATATATGCTACTTTCACTGTATAACACTTCCTGTACATAGAAAGCCTTGAACATTAAGGTAACATTTTCCATAAAATCAGAATATGAATATGTGTACATGTATGAAATCCAAGCCCAATCCTGCTTCCATTTCAATCAACAACATTGTTTCCAGCTCTTGAAATATTTCAAATTCTGAATTTTAAGGAAGTAAAACTTGATAATTCAAACCAAAATGAAGGCTCCTCATTTTTCTCCCTAAATACATACTATTTCAACTGATCTCACATCTATGTAAAGTTACACTGCCCTCAACACAAAAGGCCCCACTGTTCACTAAAAGTAGAAGACAGGAAATAGTCAAACTAAAGCAGACAAGAAATGATACACAGATTGAGCACAAGAAGCCAGTCAGTAGGAGCAGGTAAGAAGGTAGCTGAGTAAGAAACACTGCAAGTACAAAGGAAATGTAGAGGAAAAGGAGAGGTGGGAAATGGAGAAACACAGGCTAAGAACATAACGAGAAGTCTAACGCAGAAATGAACTAATGGAAATTCCATTTTTCTAAATGGTAAACAATCAAAAAAGCCTAAGCTTTTGGAACACATACCACATGTGCACACACGGGAAGAAAGTATGAGCTATTATGGATGTTTAAAGTGTTAAAAATATCAAAATAGACAATAACACTTAAAATTAAATGTTTTCAATTAAGTGTTCTGTTGAACAGTAACTAGGATGAATAATTTTGAATTCTTGGAGGTAATGTTACACTTAGATACTGACTTCATGTGCAGAATTGTGATCAAAGTATATTTATGCTTAATTATATAGAGAACTAGAATGTATTAAGAATCAGAAATAATTAGAACAATACTATTAAACAGAAGAAAGAAGAACAGTAGGCATCCTTCTATATTTCATTATCATTATACAGGGCAGTACAACCATTAACTTTAAACGACTGATGATTTTTCAGACTCCTCTATTGTGATAGCTTTGAGCTCAGTAATCGCATTTGTAGTTTAAATCTCTCACTGTGTGAACCTCAATTTAATGGGATTATGAGAAGTCTTTAAACCAACAGTCTGCAGCATCTGTTCTCTATATTTTGCATTCAGAAACTGTATTTTGAGGGTGCATTCCAGAATTAGGTTATACTATAGACTGAAAAAAGTGCTTAAAAAGATTACTATTGCCAGCACATGTTATCAAACCATAATATAAACACGCTATCTTAAAGTCATTCATTTTTAGAGAGAATTCCCATTTAAATTAGCCTTGTCTTCCAACTGAAAGAAATGAGAAATTCAGAGAGACTTTGTAGCAAGATGTAACTACTGAAATAGGATGAGTTTTAAAAAAAACACAGAAATTTGAGTCACCTCAACAGTTTGATGCAACACTTGCACCAAAACTGACACTTATCAGTGTAAATTCAATGATTGTAACACAAGGCATCTCTTTTTAAAACTCATTATATGAAACTGCTTGAATAGTTTTTCCTTACAATTCAAACACATATACACACTCACTTTTCAGCTACGCTCCTTCTATGAAACATGTATGTTGATTAATGTTTGAGTTTATTATAAACAAATATACTTTGTAAAACAAAACCAAACACAATCATTTTTTAACTTCTTGTTTAAAAACTTAAAAATATTAATGGGGAAATAGCAAGCTCAGTATCTGTTAGGTTAGCAGTTACTAGTCCAGTCAGAGAAATCTGAATTTCCTGTGGAATAAGGAACTGGAAAGTTTCCAGTTAAAGAAAATGGTGAAGAAAATTAACCTGAATTTACTAAATTGCAGATTAAGAAATACATGGCAAAATAATCTGTTCAGTTGGAAGGGAAAAAAAAATAACTCACTGTAGTCACGTTAAGAATTGTCTTCCAGGAAATAAAATGTAGAACTCGGTATGCAAAATGAAAGTACAAGTAGCTCACATGCAGAAGTCACGCTCTTCCAAGTGTGGTGTTAAATGGTGCAAAGACTGCAGCAACTGTTTCCATTGGTACTAAAGCTCATTAAATCCCAAACTTTTTTTTTTTAGACAGATCAACTATCAGTATCAATTAATGATGGTCATACTGAATCTCTAAATAAGAACTTGCATAAGACACTTGTGTTAGTACTGCAATTAATTTCCTACTTATTGTTCCCACTAACCATACAAATTCTGTTGTTACAGAGGTAGCATATGAGCTATTACTTTGAAAGGGCTCTAAAATTCAATACAAGCTTTGATATGTAAATTACTCAACAGCACATACAATGACATATTTATATGTATTAAACTCAAAAACTAACTCATTTTTCTCGTTTTATATCATACAAGCGTAACTTCTACTCTAAAGTGTTGACTAAATGGGAAAAAAGGCCATGGCAAGACCATCTGTGGCACTGGAAAGTATTTTCTAAAGTTTAAGAATATAAAAATTAGAATCTTCTCAGTCACTTATACTTTCCTATTTTCAGCAAACATCATGATTAAGGGACAAGTGAAGTGAATGATGGTAATGCTATTTTAAGGATAGCAATCTTCAAGTGTAAACAATCAAGCATTACCTAAGATCTGTATGTATATAAAGACATTTTTACAGTGGCACACACACTGAATTTTAAACTCATTCAGGAGCAGTCTACTGTCTTCACATATGGCTCTACTTTGTGACTGTAAGCTGTGCTCTTAGGATTTAGACAGTTTTAGGAAGTCACTGCTGTCGAGTAAGAACCCATACTTAACTTTAATGTAAACTGAAACAGGCTCATTTGGAACTAATAAAGATTAAATAATCTAAACTATCCTTCTTTCTTTTTAAAACAGACCAGGAGCATCCAGAGTAAGTCAGAGTTTCAGCTGATAAGGTTAACTCTGAAATAACCCGATTCATCACCTCAGGCATCTGAGCATAACTTACACAGCCCATTTCTAGATTTCTTGTTACCTGTGAGGTTTATGTATCTGCAAACACTTCCCTCATCACTGTCAAATACAAAACAAGTTGTCACTGGTCATGCTACTTTGAAATCGATCACTTTAAAGCCAAGGCATCTTAAAAAAAAAATCCTTTGCCTGAGGTTCCATACTTGAGGTACTATATATTAAAACAAACAAACAAAACACTAAAAAAAAAATGAAGGGAAAGCATGCCAAAACTACAGGAAGTTATGCTTCTAGGTTTGGACTCATTTAAGTGTTCTTTGGAAAGTTGCCTAATTAAATATTTTCCTTAGATAGTATTTCATCTTAAAGAACAATAAATGCATTGCAATCTATTTTTGATAATAAAATACCTTAGGCTAACATAGCCTATCCCTTTAGTCTGGTTTTGGTCAAGAAACAGCCAAAACTGTTTCTTTTGTCCGCATTTTAACTTTGGAAATCTGAAGCTCTACAAATGCTTTATACCTTGATGCACGTCCTGCCGCCCTTGTCCTCTGGAAGAGTTTTTCACTGAATGAAGTTCTATAGCTTAATGGCCTTCGTCTGTATTCATATTTCAAGTACACCAAAGCCAAAGACGGAAGAAGGAAGCAGGATAGATTGATGGGAGAGGACAGGGAAGTCATTAGCATAGCAAGCAAAAAGAAAGGAGACTGCATAATAATTAAAAAAAAAAACACACACTGAAGGAACAGAAATATGATTATTAAGAAGTTATTTCACGATGCTCACATTTCTGACAATTTTGTTTACTCAGATTGAACATACTTTCCACAAATAAACACAGAAGTATGTTAACTAAGCTTCTAAATATTAGTCTTATTGCTGTTTGTGGTAAGAAATTACAAATTCACAAAACTATGGCTTCAGAATCAGGGCTAATTTTTTTATTAGAGGTGGTTTTGCCCTCATGTACTTAAAGATATATAAGCAAGTTTTAAAATATAAATGCTAAACTAAGAAGTAAACCTGAAGTACTAATAAGATTGCATACATCCAAACAATTCAAGAGCAAAGCAGACCACTAGCGAGATCACTGCATTAAGAGAAAATACGACAAGCAAAGTTTAAGTTGCAGTGCTTCAGAAGAGGAGTGGCTTGGTATTTCAAATGATTAGACAACCAGGAAATACTAAAACCAATCAAGACCCACATGCAATATAGATAACCATCATATAAAAAGCTAATATATAAAACCACACTTATTAAGGAGAGAACATGAGAAAATTTACCATTCCTAACCTTTTTTGCAATATTTTAGTAGTAAGAATGTATTAAGATTTCATTCTTATTCTTCCCTTCCTAATATGAACAACCAATTCTTAAATATACTGCATGGACTTCTAAGTAAAACCTATTTTAATTTTTCCCACTATTCTATTACTATATTCTGTTTAACTAAAATAAAACACTGGGGAATTTTTAAAGCTTTGCATTTCATAGAGAAATTCAGTTCCTGATTCTAAGGGCTTCACGGGTATTTCAACTTTCTTAAAAGAAAAACAGCAGTGCAGAATCTCACCATTACACAGAAATCCAAAAGAAACAAAAATATTATTTAAGCTGGTATGAAGTCAAATCCATTACTGTAGGATACAGAAAGACTAATGAACTATTTTAGTTAACAAACTACTATTAACTACAACTTTTACCTTTCAGGAAAAGAGCTTACTCTGGCCAACGAATGTCACTGGTTATTTGCTTGTTTGGTAAAGGAACCAGAGAGAGCATGGTTCCTACGCTAGCCCGTCCACATCCTATGCAACTCCAGCTACTCCTTCCTGCTCTTCGTTTTACACAGCTGTTAACTTGTTCTGTTATATTCCTTTAATCTGCTGTTCATTCTACAGTACCTTTTCAAGAATCCTGTTGTGATGCCCAATATTAAGTGAAGAAAGGCAGTTCATCAGGATGAATTTACACTGTTCAAATGATTTCTTTTTATATATATTCATAATATATATAATGCTCTGTCATGTGACACAACAACATTTGAACACATTTCCCCTTTAGTCCATAGGAAATTTATCTCTCAGACTGAATGGAGGAAGTACAACCTAAATCATCTCCTACTTGTATAAGAATAACCAGTCACAAACAAACTATATGCAGGTTCTGCAACTCAGACAAACCAAGACAAAATCATTTTAACATGTTACCAATAATCTACTTAAATGAGCATTAATCATGCCTACTAAAGCATACTGCTTTGATAAAAAAAAAAAAAATAAAGTTAACATACATCAAACCAGGAAATCAAGAGGCTTTTATATTCATCTCTTCCTCTCCATAGGAGGTATATCAGTGCTTCTCTAGGCAGCAATTTTATGAAAAGAAACATATAACAGGTATCTTGGAAGAGTATGTCACTTTAACTGTTTAACAGCTGGACAAAACTGTTCTCAAAATTATAAAGTGTCAAGAGCTTTTGGGTATAAGACAGGTCAAAGAATAAAATAATTCTAACACAAGTTATCCTAACTAATATTGTAATACCTGTGTTTCTGTTCTTGCTGCAGTAACTGAGCTGCTATTTTTCTCAGGTCAGTCACTTCTTTGAGTTCATCATCATCTTCAGTCAGCAGCTGTTCTTTCTGAAGTCTGAAAAATTAAACATTAGTGACTTGCCTGATTTCAGTAAAGCAAGACACACAAACAGCTCCATTATTGGACAATAACTAAGAAGCACTTCCTATAAGCTTATTTTCTGTCCCAGAAGGTGCACTCTGTGTTCAGTATGAGCCTTCCTCCACGCACAAGGACCTTAAAACAAAACCACCTTCACCCCCCACTGTCAGTAAATCTTTCCCGAAAGAGATCAAAAATATTTACCTTTTTTCATCTCTCCAGTCCTCATTCTGTTCTATTTTTTGGGATTTCTCAGGAGGTTTTCCACGTTCCTTACACAGAAGAAAAAATAAACTAAGACTTGAATTCAGGAAAAAAAAAAAAAAAAAAAAAACAAAACCGAACCAAAACAAAAATCGGTCAAATCTGCTGAACATTTTTTTCTTTTGTCAAGCTATGCTAACCTTGATATAAGACAGCAATGGTCCAATCTGTACATCTCCTTGCTCAGGAGCAGCTCCCTCTTCGGCATTCGGATCAATGTAATCATACACCTCCTGGTCTAGTGAGGATTGATGAAGAATGGAAAAGATGGTATTAAACAGTTCTCTCAACCAAATGTTATTCCTGAGTGAGATAAGTACTTATGAAAAATGTCAGATAAGACTAAACAATGGAATCATGTCTCCCTGAGCTAGAAAGAATCTTTTTCTTTCTTTCTGGCTTTGTCTATTTGTGATTATTACATTGTTTTCTGGAATTATGGAAATACAATGCCAACATGAGATCATTTCATTTTGTGCCATTTTCTTATATTAGATGATCTAAGCAAAAGTATTTGTTACCTAAAATGACAGATGCACAGCAGATATTACCTTTTTGTGGATCAAGTTTACTTCCCATTACATGATTGTCATTCCTTAATGTCTGTTCCCTTGTTGATTCCGACACCTGGGAGTGAAGGCTGATTGTATCATCATCGGATGGCTGCGAAGACAGTCACATTTAATACAGAACTTAATAATGTAACTTATATATAAGTTCTGTTAATGTAATTTATACATAAATTAAGTTATTATAGGATTTACTAAGAACTCATAAATTATAGTGCAGCTGACCCTCTCATGAGGGATGGCTCCCAGGACAGAGAAAATAACATCAAGTCAGGTTGAGTTTTTTTGTGGGCAGGGATTTTTTTGGGAAGGTAGAAAGAGGGTTTAAGAGAATCATATCTTAGGGAGTGATAGGCAACTGTTCAGTATATAATAAACTACTGAAATATATTATTTTGTTCAAAGAAGTCCAGTCCAGCCCCAGTCAGTGGACTAAGAAAACTATACTTAGGTACTTGCTTATTTAAAGTCTCCAATTACTCTGACCCTTGTTATACCGCTGGGTGGAGCGGAAAGGGGAGAAATCATACCTTTACTTCTAATCACCTGGAACCTTTACTTCTAATCATCTGGAATTTTCTTTAAAAACCCCAACTAGTAATACTCCTTGTTCTACAGTTTTCCCACTAAAACTCACTCTGCATTTGTAATAATTCTCTGAATTTCAAAAATCTTTTGTTCTACACTATTCAGTTTTGACATCACTGTTATTAAATACAACTCCTTAATCTAGATTTCTAGAAAATACACATAACTTGTAGGGATTTGTGTTTAATGCTTTAAACCTAGCAGATCATCCAGAAGTTTATTAAAATTTAAACAACAAGGATTACTAACATATACAACACAAGTTCAGTCCAAATTACCTTTCATTTTAACGTATATCAGTTTCATTAATAACAAACTCATTTAAAATACATTGTGTCCTTTGTGTAGAAAATTATTATGCACTTCACGTTTTAAAAGATTCAAACAATTCCTTAGGTCAGAATGCAGCTTTAAAATGTAAGTAATTTGGACTGGAATGAACCTTAAGTCATTCCAGAAAAGTCAAAGAAATCTGTAAATCATTTATGCCTGATACTGTCAGTCTAATGGTTTAAACTCAGCTGTATAGATATTCACAGAATGTTAAATGCAACGTAGTAAAGTACTACTCAAATGATACAAATTACAAAGGAAAAAATAAATTCTAAAAAACAGACATTACACAAATTCATCACTGAAAAATACTCACTTCTGTTGTGGACAACCTTTTATCCCCATTATCACTTCCAATGCCAGAGTCTGGTCCATGATTTTTATTGGGATAGAAGTCCTCCATGCTACAGTAAGAAAACCACCACCAAAAACCCACACAGGAATAAAAGAAACAACAGTTTCACTTTTAGAAAATAAATAAACATCCTTTTAAAAATATGTTCTCTATACTCTACAATTGCCAACACAGAATTTTTACACATGCTCCATGTAGAGAACAAATTCTTAACCTCCTAGAGGAATTGTTCAATAAAAGAGTATCAAAGCAAAGTTAAAGTGGGAATAATCAATTACGCTACTCTCTGTATCTATGCAATTTTAGAATTGTTCTATTTCAATCAAAAATATCATCTTCAGAAAAGAAGGCTTCCTCCAAAAAAATTTAATTCATTGATTTCTACTGGCAGACATGGTTTTCTACTAGTAGCAAATATACATTCCCTAATAGACTGTCATATTATAACACTTTCACTATGCCTGCATGTCTATGAAATATTTCTTCCAAATTTATGCCTTTTGAAGACATAAAATTGGCAGCATCAGCAGGATGTGTTTTCCAGCTGTGCACTGAAGCTTGGTTTAAATCATAAAATTATCTAGAAAGTTTAATTAAACAAGTTTTCACTACTAAAAATACGATGTACAATGGTAATAACCATGACCTTGTTCCTTTACAATATATTTTAGTTGCAGGCCCTAAGTTCAGTGGAGGCTTTTGGGCAGCAGTTGCGGACTACAGTTTTTAGATGCTATCTACAGATCTTGTGGACTAACTCCCTAAGGCACAGATGCCTGAGATCAAGACCATGGACTGAATCTCATGGTTCAGATGGTGTAAGTCTTACTCATAACCTTCACCTTTCCTTCAGCCTTGAACAGAGAGGCACAAGTTGCATGTGATGTTTTAAGAAAACAGTCAAAAAAAGACAATTGTTCCATATGGTTACCAAAAGCAAGCCAACTGACAACAGAACACAAAAGCATTCCCATTTAATTACTCAAGAGGTACTCAGTACAGTAATCAAAAAAAATATTCTGCACTTTTTAACCTCGATTAATCTAATAAAAAAAAAATCCATGGTATTTCACTGATGATTAAGTTAGTTTTCCTTAATATATTTTTATATATATATATATCTGTGGGAGGCAGACTTTCCATCTAACAGACTAACTCTGTACTCAGTACATTTAAGGGAACTTCTCATCTACTGTTTTAACATATCTGTTTGGGAAATAAGTAGCCAAGTTTTCCAATAAAAAAATTTTAAATACATCTTTTTTCTGATTTCCAAATCTTTAGTGAGTACAGTGAAAATTTTTCATAGCAACTCAGATGAGCCAGCCAATTAAGCTTCCAGTAACACAGCCTTAGAAAATAAATACTTTGATTGTTCTTTATTTAGGAGTCATTGTATCGAAATTACCGATATTATCTGTAATAAACAGATAACTTAATAGCAAATGCTGAAGTAAAATAAAACAAAAACCCCACTACTGACCTGTCTGTGAGTGGCTGGGAAGGGATTCGTTTACCTAATGATGGAAGATCCAAAGAATCTGGTTTTTTATCTATTCTGAGGCACGCCTGAATGCTGAGGAATTTAAATATATGTACTTTACCCTTTAAACATATCTGTTGGGAAACAAACAAAAAAAAATTCATAATTACAGAGCATGGCTTTTGAAAATGCACCCCAACAAATACTTTCCACACTAAGTTTGTACCCCCAACTTCCCACGAGGATAAATATAGCTAGAAAAACAAAAACCTGATTTGTGTAACTTAGAACAGCTTCTTCTTTCTTAAGATCCTAATGCAAATTTCTCAGCTAGAATGCTTTAATACTAACCTGTGCTGGTGGTATCTGCATTGGATTATTATCCAAAACTATAACTTGTAAGTGACGTAAATTTCTGTAGCAAATTGGAATTTCTGTAATTTTATTACAAGAAAAATCCAGCTTTACCAAAGGAAGGTCTCCTAGTTCTGCATCGGGGAAACAAAAAAAAGAGAATGAGATCTTTTTAACACTTTACCTAATTTACCTACATCAAAGAAATTAAGACTACCACCTTACCATCTGGCAGCATATGGAGATTATTTCTTCTTATGTTTAACTCTCTAAGTGACTGCAATTTTCCTATCTGCTGAGGAAGAACCTGAAGTTCATTGCAGCTAATATCCTAAGAAAGATATAATTAATAAATTAACTAAACACCTTAAATGAAATTAAACAATGGAAAACTGCTATCAAAACTACTATAAAGCACACTAAAAAAAAAAAAAAAAAAAAAAAACAACAACAACAAAAAAACATATCTAAAAAAAACATATCTTCTTTTTTCTACAAAGGGAGAAAGTACCATAACAGATCTCACTGCTTGGTCAGTATTTAGTGATTCATCTTTCAGAAACTCAATTTAAAAAGTTAAATCAATGAATGATGGAAGACTGGTTTTGAGTTTAAACTAGCATGGGAATCAGGAGTTCCTGGTGTAGCTCCCATACCAGTTAAAATCTTATTGTGCTACTGCTGGCAAACAATTTGCACTCTGCTCCTTTCATAAAAATTCTTCATCCTTAAAAAACCTTGAACCAATCCATTCAACTAAAAATTTACAAAGAGTAATAGCAGACTCACCAACTTTTTGGATAAAGCACTAGAGGGTGACAAAGCTGCACCAAGTGAACACAGACTACAGCTCTTTCTGCCACTAATTTAACATTTCTGTAGGCCAGACTGAGTTCAATCACACTGATATAAGACCATTTCTAACCTTTTTTATTTCTGGTTCAATAACACTGACTATAGAGACTAGTTTCCTAGACTAGGTAACAATGGTAGATATCTACCTATTGAAATACTGGAAGCTGATTTCGAAGGCAAGCTGAGTCAGTAACCAGAAGCCAGGCCTTAACCAAACAAATCCAGCCGCCTTCTCCACTACACACTTCCAGAGCTTCAGCTTAGGCACTGCTCATCTGCTTCTGACAATCATGTCTGCACACAGCCGGATGTCTCAAAGCACAGGCTGCTTGGGATCAACCCTTATGTATCTATTTCAAGTTCTTTTATGTCCATATCACCGAATTTAAGGCAGCATTCCCTTCCTAAAAGTGTCTTTCTAGCATGTGGCTTAGTTGTCAACTTTTTTTTCAATGCATATATACTAATGTTCTAAACAGGTATAACACGGGTACTAGAATGAAACTCTAGTATGTTCTTAACCTGCGTCATCAACCACACATTCTAGGTTTGACAAATTTGAAAAATAAGCCAAAAATACCACGACTGCAATTCTGAAAAACATTCACTTCCTACAAACAATAGAATTTTAAGGTGGGATCACTGCTATGACATTGAAGTGAGCATTAAGAATTTCTCACCAAAGAGTAAAGGACATGAGAAAAGCCTCACAAACATTCAGAATATCTCATGTTACTTGTAAATTAAAAAATAATATTGGTTTATAGCTCAGAAAATAAGTCACGTTAAAAGAAATCTCCAGCACATACACAGCTACTCTAGAAACAGGATAAGGACTGCTTGCAACAACCAAAGAAATTACATAAACTGGGGAGAAAAAAAAATAATAAAAAAAAAAAAAAATCAGACCTACTCTAAGTATCAGGTCAGTGAATGATTATGCATAATTCTCCAGAACACATTAGCTTAACACAGAGTAATGATCAAAAAAGCCCAGAATATTAAGAACTATAGAGAAAGTAATACAATATAAAGCACAAAACTCTAATATGACATAGGATAAAATCTTGTTGCACAGACACCTAAACTGTGAATACCACACATCATACTATTCACCCCAAACAAAACAAAGGCATAGCAGAAGTGTGAGGGGAAAAAAAAAAAAAAGAACAGAACAATGATTGAATGGCCTAACTTGTGTAAGAGTATAGAGCAAAGAGATGAACTCTTCATCAGGAAAGAAGATTCCTGATAACAAGTAACAAAAATAGAAGTGATTACTGTAAAGAACAAAAAAAAAAAAAAAAAAATCACCATTTTTCATAACATACAAGCAAGGGACTCAAATGAAATAACCTGAAGAGCAATTTTATTTATGAACCCCTTAAACTTTAGTTAACCCAAAAATACTGATTTGTGTTTAACCCCACTTTTGAAACTCTGCAATATATTACACCTGTAATTTGAGCTCAAACAGTAAGAAAAACAGTAACTGAATTTACATATTGTAGTTCTGTATTTTTAAAAATTAAGTCATATTTTTATTATACAGTAAATAAACCACTTATAGTTTACTTAGTACGATGGTTCACAACTGTACTTACCAACTCCATTAGATCTCTCAACTTTCCAATTTCTTCTGGAATGGAGACCAGCTTATTATTACTGACAACCAGAACTTTAAGTGGAAGATCAAACAGGTATTTTGGCAACGTCGATAAAAGATTTCGACTTGAAAGAAAGAAAAACGAACAAGCAAGGCTAGATTGTAATCTTCTTTTTAAGCCTGACAGGGAGTCTGAGATGTACATTGTACAATTCTTCTTCTATTCCAGGAGACATTTTCTACCTATTACAATTTAATCTAAATTTAAACTACAATCTCCATCATTAACTCCTCACCAAATAAAGCCTCTCTCAGCTAGGTGAATTTTAGGTCCCCATTTTACTTGATTAAATTAGTATATACTATAACTGCATTTAACACTAAAATGTACATAGAAATCTGTTAAAAGAAATTATACGTTTGATGTTTGCTTTTACCCTGCTTTCTGATACGTTCCAAAGGGCCACCTGATCTAACACTCTACCAACATACAGTTCATGTTCTCAGCAAAATGGACCTTTATACAAGGCCATTGCTTCTCATGTCATGGGGTCATGTCACGCCCGAGCCACCACAAAAAGCCTTTTACATCTACTTCTTCCTTCGCTGAGCAATAGTCTGGAAGTTTTAAATAAAATTTATTTATTTTGTGTATATCATTTTCTAACTGTATGCACATATGTCTGCTTTGTACACAAGAAATATACTGTTACTGACAATTTGATTTAAATCCATACTGGAAAAACTGCCAACTGCCACTGAAAGAAGTACATAGAAATCTTCTAATAATGTACTTGTACATTTTAAAAAGCCACTGGAAAAACAGCTTGTTCACATGTGGTATGAAAGCAATTCCTTTCATACAAAAAAAGTGAAAAAATTTCAGTAATTGCCGTTTCTTTAAGTAGAACTGTGTAGAGGTCAGTTCTGTTCTGGAAAAAAAGAAAGCCCAAAAACAAACAAAAAACCCCTAACTTTTAAGCGCTGACATTTGTGTCCGTACTATATTAAGAAAACTCCAGAAGTTTTACTGTTTAATTTATGTGTATCAGAGCACTGTTTTCACATAAAAAACCCATAAAGCTTTTTAACATTGTTTTTATCCATGACTACAGCTCATAGGGGTGCAAATCCAACAAATAGATTTATGTGCTTGAAACATTTCAGCTTCAAAGAAGTACCGCAATTTTAACACCATAAAATGAAAGTAAACTTCTATCAATACTTTATAAAACTAATGTATTTAGTCTCTTAATTTTAAGTGAACAATACAAATAAGTTTTAGATGAAGGTACACAGTAAATCTCTTTTTGTGTTGTATTTCAGGCAGATGACAGGCATTTTTGGTTGGAGAGCATGAGAAGCAAAAATATAATGTGCAAGTAAGCTTTTTTTTAATTGGTTAAAGTGTGGCAATGAAACCATTATTCTTGGCATCACTTAAAAAATTTCCTGGGTTTTGGAGGAGTTTGTTCACTGGTTTCGTTTCTTAAAAAAAAAAAAAAAAACCAAAACAAAAAAACCAAAACAAAACACAGAGCTGCCTACTTTACTATGAATTGCACAATACATTACTCCAGTCATCTGAATTCAAAATTAGAATTTGAGATCACGTAGTTTGCTTCTGTAACAAGATTTTCACCTGTTCAACTACTATAGTCCACATGTTCAAGCATTGATAAAGTAGTCCTCAGACACAGCACAAAAATGAAGACAAAGTAGTAAGGCAAATGATTACTGGAAGAGTTGACTCTTGAAATAACATGTGACATCCAATTAGAACTACATCCTACTTTATTTCTGTGCAAAGAATTGTATTCAGCACCTCAATTACCATCAAAAGAATTGGGCTGTTGCTGCTCTGAAGGAATTGGGTCAAATTTCTTTCAGAAAACACTGTGGTTTTATCAAATCATTAATCCTCTTTAGAATTTCCACAGAACACACTACTCTTAAATTATCACTGTAAGTACTGATATTTACAAATTTTGAGAAATAGTTGGTGGGGTGGGGTTTTTTTGTTTTTTTTTGGGGGGGGGGGGATTTTTGTTTGTTTGGAAGGTTTTTTTGTTGTGTTTTTTTCTCCTTCCAAGGATCAATTCAAAAAAGTTTTTTCAAAATAAGTTCCGGAATCAAATCTCACATGATAAATAGCTCTTAGATGAGAAGAGTGTTTTGGACTTGTTGTAGTCAATATAAAAACTAAGGCATATTGTGGAAAACAGGTCTCAGCTCTTTTTGAGAGGGTTCCTTCTAGACTCCCTCTCCTTCCAGAGCTCACAGACATCTTCCGAGAAGATCCAATCATATGTTTTCCAAGTTTAAGAACAGCAATACAGCAACGGATGTAAATAATGTGCAAAATGAGTTGGGTTTTCTGGCCAGAGCAATCTACCTTCTTGAGAGCAGCACGTCTTTAGATGTACAGTTTCTAAACACTGGCTGTCTGCATAATATTAAAAACAAAGAAAACTTTGTAAACTCTCCTTGTCCTCAGCTACCAGAGTTTACTGACCAAAGTTTCATAATGCAGTCAATTCCTTCCCACAACAGAAGCAACAACTACTGGCCCTCAACCACCAAGGATAAGGCAAACAAACAACAGCATTTTATCTATCTGGGTAAAAATGAGTGCATAAGGGCACTCAAGGACCTGGTGAAGTAAAATACCACCTATCCAATGAGATAATTTACATAAATACCAAAAATAACAAGCATTACTCACCTAATATTAAGGTAGGTAAGCATTTGAAGGTTTTTAATAGATTCTGGAATGGATTTGATGCAGTTGTGATACAAATTTAACGTTTCCAAGGGTGCAAACAGCCACACATCGGGAGGAATTTCAGTAAATCTGTTCTTTGAAAGATCTAGAAGCAAAAGAAGAAAAAAAAAAAAATCCCTTTTTAGACAAAAATTTCCCTGCAGTAAGAGGAGATAAAAGTACCCACTGTTATTCCTGTCATGCTCCTAAAATTTTAGGTGTTGCAAGAAGTGTAAAATAATTCAGTTTTACCAGATGCTACTGCATATAATTAAATACACAAAAAAGACTTATAACACTGAGTATTGTTTGATATGCAATGATAACAGAAAATAGAAAAATGACAGGAATTGATAAATATATTACCCACTGAATAACTAAGAACATTTAAAATGTAACTGAATATTAATTATGACTGTCCCTCCTCTATCAGCCTTTGCTCTGTGCAACTGTTGGGGTTTTTTCCAATTCTAGGAACAACAGTAAGTCAAGGAACAAACCCAGTAAGCATTACCTGTCCTGTTTGACAGCTACGTTAGATTCTCATCTCATTGTACAAAATATCTGCAACACTAAAGCCAAGTTTTCAAAAAAAACCTTACATAATTATTTTGCTTAAGAATTACAATTCTCATGTAAAAACTATTCTTTATTGCAAGCATGGTAATTAAGACATTCTCCAGTTACACATTTAAAATTTAGCTAAGAAGAGGATAAAGTTGCAAAAACCAATGTCAAATGCATTTAGCTACATAAAAAAGTATGCAATTTAGCCTAGCCTAAAAGCAGAAGGAGGAGGTATCTTTGATAATGGAAACAGAATACTTGAACTAGAGTTATTTTGACAATGCATGACTGCATTATGTAAATCTGCATGCAGAAGATAGGAAAAATCAGCGCACTATGCATACCATCTCTGACTATATGAAATCTTTAAAGATGAGAAAAGTCAAGTGGGATGTGTGACCCAAGAATCCTAGAAATTATCAGCTAACTACCAAAACCTGTGTCATAAAAATCCATTAAACTATCCTGGAAGAAAAAGGTATTTACTTAAAAACAACTGGCTACTTTTTTGAAAGTAACTCTGGTTCCTAACCCAAGATATTTCAAAAGGATGTGGTTTCTCAGAAATGCTGAACAAACTCTTTTAACAAAGAAGCAATACAGATCCCTTGCTATTTCAGGCTTTAGTTCTCAGTTTTTAACACTTGCATGAAGTAACTATGTTTCTGCTTACCTCCCATCACATTATCATTGAAACATACATATACCACATCATTCCATAATTTCTAAAAAACATTCTTAAGCAGAAGTATCACAAAGCCTTCCTAAAGGAAGGCATCCACTGCTGATGCCACATTCCACAAACTGTAGAAGCAAGAGGCAGAAAGAGAAAGATCTAGGTCACAGGACTGACATTCTTAATAAACTGAATGGAGAATGGAATAAAGTTAACTGTAACTAAATATCCCAACTAAAACTAAAATGCTTACTAAAAAATCTAGCAAAGCGTGAGAAAGTTTTCACAATAATGAGATTTGTTTTGTGTTTTCTACCACATCAATTTTCAAAACATTATAAAAAGATGGCAGCTTTCACATGAAAGAATTTTCTGCAAAATCCTTTTGAGGTTAAACAAAGGCTCTTTTATTCTAATATTCAGCAAAGTGGGATAGCTGTGTGAAGAAAAGATGCACAGAGTTTTATTGTTGGCACAATTCTACAACCTCCACCACATGATGAACAGTCTTTGATGCAATTCCATTCTAAATAAATTAGTTCTAATACACTTCCTGATTTTATCAGCAGCTGAAAAGATAACAAAGCACAAGTTACAGAATCTCATCCTACTGCCACCAATCCAAAGAGCAGTACTGTAGGTTACATCTGAACTGGAAGATTCAAGAGTACCATGAAAATCCTGCTGCTGTATGTGCATCCAGCCATACCCCAACCACACATCTTGGAAAGACAGAGGTTAAAAAACAGTTTTGCCATTTCTTCTGCAGAAATAAAACTCAGAGGTGGGCCAGACACAATTACTCTAGTGTGCACCAGTTCTCTGCCTTGGACAATGAGCAGACCAGGGCTGTAGTACTCAACAGACAAGATAAAACCAGACGTAGTTTCTAGCCTGACCTCACAAAAATCACATTACCACTATCTGGTTGCAGTCCCTTAGTGCACCCTTGTACAAAACCCATATGTTTCACATTAGAAGAAAATACACAAATATTCTGAAATTGCTATACGTTACTGTTGAAAACATTTCCCTGAAAACAATACCTTAAAACACTGTGGGGCAAGGATTCCACTTTTCCATTATGAAACCCAGAAGCCCTATTAAAATAGGAAATTATACCCATTATCTGTCAATAATGAAATAAAAAAAGGTAAATAAAGAGTTAGAAGATGACCTATCTTCCAAGCATTTTTTCATTCATTCATTGCAAAATAGTATTAGAATAGCCCCACGGGTTCAGATCTTTCTAAAAAGATTCAAGCGTACATAGTTTTCTACAATATTTATATATCAAATGTACCTACAGCTTCTTAAAAAACAAGTAATGCTCTTTTCCCAAACTGAAAAATAACTTCTCCTCCAGATATATTTTCTTAATGAGCAAAAAATTTATAAGATGAATTCATCTATTATGCTAAATGTAGATGTGAAGCTTGGGCAATTTAGGCCCCTTTCAAAGACTAATAACCCACTGTATGACTGAGAAAATATTTTAAGAAAAAAGGGGGAAACTTCTGGAATAGTGTTCCTCTATAAACAAGATAGACAATCTCAATCAAAATGGAAGTACGTTGCTGGCACATAAAATGAGAATGGTTTTGTAAGGGTTAATAGACTGAATCAGCAAGGGAAGCTGCTAAATGCAGAACCACAGATGATTTAAGACAACTCCTCTAGAAGTGAGATTATAGGAATTCTTTGCTTAACCAGTTTAGACTGGAAAACTCTAAATTGAGGGTGTTATGTGAAGACTAAATAGAAGACACTATCCATGACTACTCATGAATCACAGAGTATTTCAACTCACTATCTCTGTAGAAACAATAAAAGTGAGAAGTACACCATTACCAAGGTTAAATTTAAAAGGGGAACCACAATATGAAGAAGTTGGTTGCAAGCTTAGATTCTTTAACAGAAAGAGTAAAGTCTTTACTGACTGCAAGACAATTATGAAAAGACAATATAGTGAAAGTTTACAAGACAAGGATTTTAGGAAATCAGAGTTTCGAGGTGAAGCTATTAGAAGTAAAAAGATATCTTGTATAAATTTAAGCCATGATCAAAAGGAAAAACAAAAAGCTCAAGCTGTCAGGTTGCAGAACTGTGCAGTAAGGTAGTCAAACAGTATTAACATCATGTTTGCTTTGTTTTTGCACTTTCCCCAAGCATTCATTACTGCTTACTATCAGAGGCATACTGCTAGAACAGACTAGTCTTTTATTTGATCCAGTACAATCATTTTTATATTCACGCTTTGCATGCACTACATGTTGAATTTTAAATACAAGGCTTAGTTGGGAAATTTATACTTGAATCTTATCTTGATACTATAATATTTTTCATAAAAATATGCTGAGCCATGCTATTGGTGTTGGGTTTTTGCGTGTTCAAAGTGTTCCAAAATTTTATATAGAAACTGGATCGAAAAAGAAAACAACCACCTGTCCCCACCAACCCAAATTGGCTCTCAACTCCTAATATACAGAGATTTTCCTAGCCAGTTTTTCTAGTAATGCTTTAGCCAAGTCTAAACCAAAAAACATCTAAGCACAACAGTAACTGTATAATTAGTCCTACAGAAGTCAGTGAATATATAAAATTAAAAGTGTTCAGATCTGATCCTAAATATACATTTTTAGCCAATCTAAAGACAAATTTGAGATCAACACACAGAACATGGTTAAAATGTATTAGTCTGTCACATGCAAATTGATTCTGGAGAAGGAAAAAAAACCAGTTGTCTCAAGCACTGCAGAAACACCCGCATAAGGTTAATTCCAGGAGGCAGAAGTTTTCCATGTCCACACAACACTCAGTCACCTTATAATTCAAATCCTGTGGTGGTTAAAATTTATATTGAACAACAACAGTGTTTAAAAAAACCCTCAGTTTATTTATATTTCACATAGCAGTTATTAATTCACTTGAGAGCCCACTGTTCTTAGTGTAACGCTCCAAAATCATCCCATGTCCTACTAACTATTCTTCTGTTACACAGATCTTCAGTCTTTCTTTTTCTCCCATCTCGAACGGAAAGCCAAGTCTCCCTCCCTGAGGAGGGTCCTACAAAGAGAAAATGATCAGATTTGCATTCTATCTGATGGAGTTCCAAGAATGATACCAACAATGCAGTCAAGACTACGGCTTTGCTAATGTGTCACCTTCACCCACAAGTAAGGGCATCAGACTTCAAACACCTTTAACTTCACAATCAACCATGGTAAATGATGGGCATTATTTATACCACAGCATTCAAGAAAGAGGAGACAGAATATAAAATTTCAGAAATTAAATTCTGTTGCACAAAGATATTCCAGATGCTGAAACATCAAAATAATTGAAAAGAATCGGGCAGTAAATGTATGCATTCCCCTATCTCCCAAAGGAGGGGAAAAGAAAGTTAGATGCCAAGCATTTGAGATTAACCATAAAGCAAAGATGCATGCATGAAATATAGTGAAATTTGTCTCAAAAAAGAAAAACCAGAACAACAACAAAACCCTAAATCAGACTATAAAAGTCTAATACCTTAAGGTCCTATGAGCATGAGTTGCCCACCTTCTACCAGGAATAGAGATCCTAGCATAGCACTGAAAGAAAAGTATGAATTCGAAAATAAGAATAGGTCAGCTTGCCAAAGCAGTCCCACACATCTACACTACGCCCACCATGGACTCCTGGCGTGCTGGGGTCAACTTCCAGAACCTTGCAATGTTACTACTTGACACATGTAGCGACAGGAATCTCTCACTCACTGCAGATGAACAGCAACCAGGGCAGTTCCTCAGCAGTTGCATAAGTTCACTAGCTCCTACCTTATTTTATGTTATACTAGCACAGTTTCCACTGCCATACCATGA